ATTTGAACCGCTGAACTGCTGATCTAGCAGTAGCCTGCAGTGCTGCATTTAACCACTGCGCCACCTCGGCTCATTTGAATGATGTCACCACTTCTGATTTAAACCAACCACTGAGATAGGGGAGGAACAACTGGAAATCAGTGCTTCCAACTTCAGTTCCCATAGTCCAGAAAGATACCCTGGTTTATGCCATTAAAAATTCTAACAGGATCAATATAGGTACATATTGTCCTCCAGAACTTGGCATAGATCATCCAACCGAGTAACCAATGTTCTTTCCATCCCGTACCAACCCTAAACTTCTAGGGTTGACTGCAATTGATTTGTTGTTGTTAGTTGCGAAGTTGTGTCCAACCTATCACAATCCCATGGACAACACTGTCCATGGGGTTTTCATGGCAAAGATACTGGAGTGGGTTGCCATTTCCTTCTCCAGTGGATCTCTCTACTATGACCTGTCCGTCTTGGATGGTCCTGCATGGCATAGCTCATATCTTTATTGAGTTCTACTACGCCACGACAAGGCAATAATCCATGCAGTTGAGTTACTTCATATTTAATAAGCTTTCTCCAAGAGGAGAAGTTAAACACAAGATAAGTGTTTCCAAATAAGGATGGTTCAACAGATGGCTTTTTTGAAACAGGGCACATCACTGCCTCTTTCAAGGCGAGCAGCATTATTGCTTCTCTCAAAGTAGCCTTTAACCATCCAGTCACTCATGTCTTCCTTGCTGCCTGAAGGAGTCAAATGGGACAAGGGTCCAAATTACACATTACAGTACAAAGAACCTGATTCACTCTCTTATTTTCTGAAAACATAAATGAATCCCAGGTGACATTGCGAAGTATTACTCTAATCGGAGAAATCCTGGAAAGACATGCTTCAGTTCCTCCTGTGAGAGAAAAAGCAATGAGAAAGACAAAATTGAGCTGCCTCCTTTCCTCTTTTCATTAGTTCACCTGACAGAGAAATCTTCCTGCCCTGATTGGCTGCTTGGTTTTCATTTCCCTAGGCTTTGTCTCTGCCCACAACTTAGATTGACACATCAGATTTAGATCTCTCTTTAACGCTTTCATATTTGAACACTTTTGAATACAACTTTTCTCCCTTTGCTACAATTTATACCAGAGATTCCACATGGTTTACAACAAATCACAACAATCATAAAGATCAAAACATCTGTCATGCTAAGAAATTCTATAAAATCCCATAACATAAAAACTATATACAGCAGCTTTCTGATGGTGTTCTCTGAAACCAATACACATACTAATCTGATCATTCTCACATTACATTTTCTGTATCTCCTGCAGTTCTGAATAACTATATTTTGAAGGTGAAACTTGGCAGTAGTCACAGTAGTGCTCTTATTGCTGTGATGGAGTCCAAAATAATGATATTAGGAGCCCAGGAATTGTCATGAGTCTTGTTTGCTATCTGGTTTGTCTGTGATTAAGCATTTACTGGGAAAATGATTAATTTGAAAACTAGCTGTGTTGGAGGAAATTCCATTGCAAGATAAATGTTTTCCTGTGCTTGCATCAAACTCTGTAGGATCTTCTTCAGCTTCAAAAGGTTTAAATCACAAGCAAACATTCATATGCGGAGAGGCAGAAAATAAATGTATATCATATAAATATAAATATATATATATTTATATTTATATTTAAAGTCATAACCCCTGGTATGCCCAAATATGGGAGGAAGGTCACACTTCCACTCTCTGTCTTCGGCTCGTCACAAGAGACCATCCAGACAGAAACCCAATATTTTTTACTGTTGCCTTTTTGTTACATTTGTTATATTTATGCTGATAAATAAATAAAGGGAGACTAGTATAGATCTATTTCAAGCTA